GGGGGGGGGGGGGTCCGTCTCATTCTAAATTCTCACTGTCTCCATCCCTCTCTGTCATCTAAGTCATTGAAAAACTCACCTTCATTTGCACTCTCTAATTACCCAACCTTCTTTACTCCTCAGCATGCTGTAGTTTGGGTTATAAAGTAACTAAATGTCATCAAAGATTTCTTTATTCCTAAGTACTGTGGATTCTTTCTTGACATTCTGTATAATTTACCACTGGCAAGTTCTCCCTACCTGCCCCTCTGCTTTGTTTTTGAGAGCAGAACTCTTATGATTCCAACAGTGCCTTTTTTATTGATTTTTTTTTCAAGAGAGAGACAGAGAGGAGCATTGATGTGAGAGAGAAACATCGATCAGTTGCCTACCGAATGTGCCCCACCTGGGAATTGAACACGCAACCTGGGTATGTGCCCTGACCAGGAATCAAACCCACCACCTTTTGGTGTATGGGATGACACTCCAACCAACTAAACCACACTGGCCAGGGCCAACAGTCCCAGGCCAACAGTCCCTTTTAAGTTCCCTTTGCCAATCCCTTTTCCTTTCCCTTCTTTATATGTTGTATTCCACTGTGCACACTATGTGGGTAACTTCATCATCTTCTCATGGCTCCAAAATCTCATCCTGAGCTCTAATCTCCCAACCATCTCTCTGTAAGTAGCTCAAATTCAGTGTGAGTGTGTGTGTGTGTGTGTGTGTATATACATATACATATACATATACATATACATATACATATACATATACATATACATATACATATACATATACATATATATATATATATAATGTAGCAATTATCTGGTTAAATTTTTATTTAATAAATTGTTAGAGAAATTTTGTAACAAATTAATGAAATTCAAAACAGAAAATTATCTACAATCTCATTACCATGCTACTATTTTCATTTTCATGTTTCTTTCCAATCTGTCTATACAGACCTAGAGAGTACATAATATCTAATATCTATTTGTTAATATTTGCTAAGTAAATATATATATAGTTTTATAAAATCCCATTTATTCAACAAGGATTTATTGTTTATCAAATACACCCCAACACTGTTTCTTAACTAATCCCTTTTATTCCACTTAATTGAAATACCATTTTAATTGCTGATACTGTATGCTGAACACCAGTTACTGAAGTCAGACTGCTTGTTCAAAGTTCAGATGTGCAGCTTACTATCCAGGAGATAGTAACAATAATAGCAACAGACAATTATTAAGCACTTACTATGTTTTACGCACTGTTACAAGCTACTTGCATATACTAACTCATTCAATCATCACAGGAACCTTGGAAAGTATTATAGTCCCATTTTATCGAGAGTTAGCTGAGGCGCTGATAAGTTAAAGAATATACTTCAGGTCACACAACTAGAAATTTTAGCTTAATTAACCCCTAGAGTATAGGAAGTTAAGAGTATGAAGCAATATTGCTTAAGTTCAAATGTCAACCCCACTGTTTATTAGCTGGTTGACCTTTTCTTTCCCTTTTGCTAAGTAAAATAAAGATAATATTAGTACCTAGGGTTGCATCAAAGGATTAAATGAGCTCATGTAAGAGCTCAGAATAGTCTGGCACACAGCAAGTACTTAATAAATGTCTACTATAATTATGACTATCATTTTATCTCTAAATCCCAAATATAGTTAGATCTGTCCTAGATGTAACCAAAGAATTCTATACCTAGTCAAGCTATTCAGTTTTAAAGGCAACTGAATGACATTTTCAAATATGCAGAAAATCAGGAAATAAGATCCTGATATATTCTTCCTGCAGCGGTTCCTACAGATGTAACTTAGCCAACAAAGATGAGTACAACAGAGAATGTATGAGGGAGAAAGTCTGGTGTGAAAGAACTGAAAATGAGTTCTATATAAATTTAAACACATACAGATGCTCTTTGACTTACAATGGGGTTATGTCCCAGTAATCCCTCTGTAAGTTGACAATATAGTTAAATTGAAAATACATTTAACCTACCTAACACAAAGTGTAGCCTAGCCTACCTTGAACACGTTCAAAACACTTACATTAGCCTATAGTTGGGCAAAATCATCTAACATAAAGCATATTTTATAATAAACTGTTGAATATTTCATGTAATTGATTATGTAGACTGCTTTCACACCAGTGTAAAGTAGAAAAATAATACCTAGGATTTAAATCTCACGAGGGGCTGGGATTTGTGACCTCAGGCCCACTGGGAGAAAGAGGCAAGAACTGAACTTCCCATAAAATGGGGAATCTCAAAAGGCTGTCTTATCCATGGAAATAGCACTAAGAACACATCACCAAGATATGCCAATGAAGCTAGGAATCTGCCTAAAACTTTGGATGGGGAAAAGTCATCCAGGACTGAAAAAAAACAAAAATTTGGGCATTTATGAGGGTAAATTTTCATTATTAAATGGTATATTAATATGCACCAAAGAATGAATACTGTCCTAGGACCATTGAAATTCCCAGGGTTCTGGGAGGAGCATATGCAAAACTCATGTGTAAAGACAGGTATGCATATATGAAGAAAAAAAAAATGTGTAAAGAAAATTCACAGAAGCAGTGTTCTTAATAGCCCCAAACTGAAAACAACCCAAGTAATGATCTATAGCATAATGTACCGTTTTGTTAATTCAAGGCATTATTACACAGCAATGAGAATAAACGTCTCACTCATGCAAAAATGAGGATGAATCCCTGTGTAAAATAAGTAGCCATAGAAAAATACTGTGCGGTTCCATTAAAATAAAGTTCCCAAACAGTTAAAACCATCTACGATGTTAGAATTAGAAGTTGGGACGGTAGTTACTTTTGGGGAGCCATTGGAAGGGGTGCTTCTGGGAAGCTACTAATGTTTTAAATTTTGTGACCTGGGTGATGGTAGTAACATGGTTTCATTTACTTAGTGATAATTCATTAAGCTCTACTTTTAATTTGAGCAGGTTTCTGAGAATATTTGTGCGAATAAAAAGTTTCCATCTTTTTGTTTTAAAATGGTTCCACCCAAGAGGACAGCCTAGAGGGCACTGCAGTCCAACAGAGGTCCTCTGGGTAGGGCTGACCACTGGAAGTCCAGAGGCTGAGGGCCAGAGTCAGAAATGTCCAGAGAGAAGACAGGCACCACCCGCATTACAGGATTGCAGTTCGAGCTCCCCAGTGAAATATCCCCAAGAATCCCACCAAATTATTTTGCTGGAGAGTCAGCTGTGATTATCCATAAAACACAGAGAATTCCAGTGACAGTCATATATGTACCTGCCTTGTATAACCTGTCCCCTTCCCTTTAACCCCTCTTCCTATGCCATCATTCTGAGCAGCTGCTAGTGGGTCTTAGGAGTCTGAGCGGGATACACAGAGAGGAAGGTGATCTTGTGTTTTTTTCCTTCCCTGAAGGCTTCTGGCCCCAAGCAGTACTGAACTGGGGCAAAGGAGAAACCCA